CCTTCAAATCTTCAACTTTGGCTCGACCATTTTAACAGAGGTCTTTGGGGCACTTTCATCAGAGCTCCGGAACCTAATATGGAATCGGCCTGTAGTTGGACTTGATGTAGAGGGCGTATAGTCATAGAAGCAAATATATTTGAGTCAGTACTATGTCTCGTCCGTGGAACCCAGGCAAAGCAAAAGCTTCGAAGTATCTTGTGATTCTGCTGAACTTGAGTCATTCTGCTGTCGGACAATAGTGGAAAAAAATAATCGTGTCGGAGCACTCAATCGAGGTGCTGGCAACATTCTGTTGGGGCATCACGGGCATGCCCCGGAGTCAAAGACAAAGAGTTCAAATGTTATTTCACCGGAACAAGAGACTTAAAATCCTTTTGGTCTTTGTTGCGTATTTCGGACAATTGTTTTCTTCCGATGAACAACGCCTTTGGTATGTAGTTTGTCAACAACCATGCCTAATGCGGAACATAATGTCATCTTGACCATACATCTCGATGGTAACGTCAAAAGTACATAAAATACATATGTACCTATAAAGAGATTCACCGAAGAACGAAAAATGTCATACAAGGAAGCAAATCCAGAGGGAGAACTGGTCTCACAAGGAATTACGGAGTTGACATCGGACTGGCTGCAAGCGTGCCTAGCTCATTTGGACCTTTCAAACGAACATGTGGGCCAACACGGTTATTGTTCTAACACAATTCTCAAAGCTCAACTTCCGGCTTCACTCGTGTTTTGTTCTTATGCACCAAGTCCAGGCCCATTCTAAGATGGAAGTATGACCAAGCCAATGAGAGAGTAGAGCCACATGCGCTAAACCTTTTCTAGTAATGATCTATACCTGATTTGGAACCGGCGTCAGGTCTCCACCCCGTTATGTCTACTTCCTTCGGGTTAGGGATGTTCAAGTGAACACCAATTTGTTAGGTCCTGCCAGGATTCTACAATCCTAATCATTTAGTCTCTTGCCAGTAGGTACTTAGGTATGTGACATCTATTTCCTCTCTCCTTTTGCTCGATCTTTCCGAGATTCGATCATTGCCATTCCTCTCGTTTCTAATGTTGTACTTCAAGCCTGCCTAAACTCCTCCCTTCACTTCAACCCTAAATATGCCCGGGTATATTACATTCTCCGTCGGGCAAAATCCTAGTTGCTGTGATGGTCCCTAAACCCCCTCGTAAGACAGAAGAATTCCTGGCAGGTGAAATTCAAAACACAACCAAACACCTAATCGCAATGCAAAGCAGAGCAAAATATAATAATAATACATCCAGGGGGAGAGAGACAGAGACAATGTACAAGAGACACACAAACAGAGACAGCACAAGCGGCGAGAAATCAATCCTTCTCAGCCACAGTATCATCCTTGACCCCCTTACCAGCTTTCCCATCCTTCCCACCCCAAGTCCAAACGTCCCAAATATGTTCCTGAATCAAATCCCCATACCCCTTCCCCTCACTAAGTGCCTTCTGTTCCTCTCTCAACCTCCTCTCCTTCCACCCCTCAGACTCCCCACCCATCCAAACCCGCTGCACTACCCCTTCTTCCTGCGCCTGTCTCGCCTTGAGTTTTTCAATCTCCTCTATCAAACCAGGATCCGGATCCCTGCGCTGCTTATCCGAAAGCGATAAAATACGCGCTTGCAACTGCTCATGCTCAGCCTGACGGACCTGCGCATCGCGCGCAGCCCGAAGTCGTTCCTGGATCTCCTGCGCGCGCTCGCTCGGCAGAGAAGAGAATGTCCCCTGCACGCGGGAAATGCGCGCGTCAATCCGGTCGACTATGCTGCGTCCCGTGCGCTCATGCACGATATGGTTTGCGGATGCGCCGAAGGAGCAGAGCACTAGGACTGTGAGAGGGTCGAGTTTGCGTGGTGGGAGGGCGATTAGGATCGGCGCGCCGATTAGGAATGTGTAGGCTGCGTAGTTCTTGAAGCGTTTGTAATCTGCTTCGCGCGTTGCGTTTAGGTCTGGGGTTGAAGGGGTTGCCATTGTTGATTTTCTTTTTGATTTGCAGTTGATGATATGAGAATGAGAAAAATTTATGGTTGGCGGTTGGGCTTGGCGGATACTTGGCATCGGGTTGATCGCGAGTCTTGTATTTTTGTTGACTCTTTTACATATCTACTGTATATTTCAAAATCCCTCTTTTACGTAGATTTGAAGGGTCAACAGAGTTCCTATTATGTTGGATACACTGAATTACTCCCTTCTGGTTACAACAGAAGGAAAAACACATCAAAAACCCCTGCCAACTCCATGTACATACTACGCTTCAATCGGATTTCACCAAGATCTGTATGAAATACGCATAGCCACATCTGAAAATATCTAAAGTCTACATCTCAAGAGACTATTAAATGGAAAATATCTTACATCGCACTGATGGACAGGGATCTAAATTCAGCTTCATATATGATTGGCAGAGTAGACAATCCCACCCTATTGATGTTCAGGTCGAGGTTATACAATTATCAAATCAGACGTTATAAACTACAGGGCTTACTTTCCCCATTGACTTTCCTCCCTCTCCACTTCCACTCATCTCTGTTCATCTCCCATCTTCAAGCCACAATCAAGATGTCTGCCAACCTCCTCTTCTCCTGGCTTTCCTCCAAGGAGGCCATTTCAAACCCTACATCGGATGCTATGACTAGCATCGAGAGCCACCAGCCCACCAGCCCAAAGGCCCCCTCCACTAACCGCATGGTGACCGAGCAGCCCGTATGCCATACAAGACACAAACCCCTACACTAACAAACCAGTACTAATATCCCCCAGAGCCCTGAGGAGACCATGCTGAAGCTGCGTGGTGGTGGCGCCGGCGATATCTGCTGCGGCCTGTAAGTCAAATGCGTCTGAAGTACAAACAGCCAAACCAAACTGACACTCACCTAGTTGCGCCGGTCTTCTCTGCTTCGAGTGCTGTGAGTGCTGTGAGCATTGCTGCTAGTTTCGCGCTGGTTCGAGCACGCTACCGGGTTTCCTCTCGATTTCTCGATACTTTTGACGATTTTCCGCGTTTGTTTCGTCCAGCGATTGGCTTTTCGAGGGTCTAGGATGGGGAATATCGAGAGACAGGGATTAGCCGGGCTTGAGGGGGCATTATTGCCGTACTTTCTATGCTTCCTATCCCAATCCAGCGAATATGAGTCTTGCTCTGGGCTATTTGCCAGAGCCTCTGTCAAAATGGAGTCTGGACTCAGCTTTTACATACCCAATTTCTTTCTCTAGCTGAGAGAATTGGAATTCTATCTTAATTCTGATCTTATTTTCTGTGCTGTCAGTATTATTGATTATCTACAGTCTGACAGGAATAGACATACTGGCTCTACTCTGGACAATTGGCATTGATCAAGGTGATTTGTGCTATGGAAATATGTAAAAATGGAGAGATTTCCCTTCTATTCTTCCTTGACATGAATTAATTTCAATCCGTAGAACCGTGGCAGATAGTCTTGAAGCTCACCCTCCAAGTTCACTTTAGGTACGTCCTCAAGGTATCCTCAGAAACTCTCCCCTGATTTCAGTCTCAAACCTCGCTCTCAAAGCTCTTCCTCTTCGTCTTTGTCGTGTGGATCAGAAAAGACAAGTCCGTTCAAATCATCCACTAGGGATTCCAGTTTTGAGGGAACGACCTCTACGTTAGAAGACACGACCCCGGCGCTGGAAGATACAGCCCCTGCATTTGAAGAGACATTATCTGCATTCGAGGAGATGGGCCCCGCGTTGGAAGATACAGTCTCTCCATCCGAAGAGATATCATCTTCATTCGAAGAGACTTCATCTGCATTCGAAGAGACGGGCTCCGCGTTGGAAGACACGCCCCCCGCGATGGAGGATACAGCCTCTGCATCCGAAGAGACGTCATCTGCATTCGAAGAGACATCATCCGAATTCGAAGAGATGGCGACTGCGTTTGAAGAGACATCATCTGCGCTCAAGGACGCGACGTCTGCATCCGAAGACCCGGGAGTATTGTGCTCGGGCTGGCTACTCACATCGAAAGCGATCTCCCCCGGCTCCGTTTCGTCACCAATCATACGCGGGATATCGGCAAAGCCACGAGTAACTTCACTGAGTTCCTGTTCAATTTGACCAGTTGTCACACGGAAAGCACACTTAGAGTATCGAGCCTCCATGTGTGCGACGAGTGCAGCGAGGGTCCTGAACCGTTTGAAGCATCGAGGGCAACTATAGAAATTCATTGTTAGTGAGAATCCCTTTGCAAGATTACGACCAGACAAAGAAGATACTTACTCGTTGATCGTTTCATCCTCCATCGTGAGATGGTACTCGAAGGTGGTAGCGTACAAGAAAGACGAACCGCAGTTGCAATAGTAGCGACGTTTCTCCTGATTCCAGAAGCTCTCAGGGTCCACACCTTGGATCGTGCGGTGAGCTGTGGCTCGGCAACTAGTGGGAACAACGCAGCGAGAAGGGCCTGCTTCTTGGACAACCAGAGAAGATCCAGAGGATCCTGCCTCAATCGACAGCTCAGTAGCTCCGTGAGGAGCCAGGAAAGGACTATGGTGGCGCGTTGAGGTACCGAAAATATCATCGAGGAGGACACCTCCGGGTGACTCAGTGGAGCTACTTCCTGGTTTTCCTTTGACTGGGGTCATTGGAGCGCCTAGCTCAGGCCAGTTGTCATGAGGAATGGTTGCATTATTGGTATCGCGAGCAGGGCGCTTCCCTTCCATACGAGGTGTGGAGAGGTCCAGCAGAACGCCACCATCCGCATCCGGGTCCTCACTGGAGGTATCAGAAGGCGGAGACTGACGTCCAGGAGAATCCCTGCCCATGGTCAAAACACTTGCTGCGCCGTGAAGATTATAGTTGACACCGTCGCGGGCTTTGTCTGGCAGGGTAAGGACAGGGCATTCCTTGTCTTCGATGTGTTTGATGACTGCAGAAGCAGACTTGTACTTGCAACCGCAGCCCATGCAAGCGACTTCATGACCCTCGTGGTGATTCTAGAAGATGGAGAGTCTGTTAGTACTGTTTCTTGTTCTGTGTATGTTACCATAGAGAACAATGAACACTCACGTTTCTCATGTGAACTTCCAGACCAGCCTCGCTGCGAAGCTCGAGACAGCATTCCGGGCAAGCAAAATGACGGTCGCTCATAATCTTGTGCAGATGAAGGGTCTGCTGAGACTGGAAGTCGAGGTCACATTTCATGCAGTAAGAATGTCTGTCCGCATTGGCTTTATGGTGTTGCATCTCGCTGACGGACTTAAAGATTAGTCTGCAGCTCTGGAAGGTACAAGGTACCTCTTCCAGTTCTTCAGCCATTGCGAGGAAGCTTGATCAGCTGTCAGGGCGATGAAGTGACCCGTATCAATGAAGGATAGACAAGATATCAAGATAGTTGGAGAAGGAAAGGAATGTGAAAGACGAGAATATCAGAAAAAGGTGGGAAGGGGAGAACAAGAAAGTTGCTGGCAACGTCTGAAAGTGGAGGCAAACAAAATGATTGCTTTCTCCTGACAAACTGGTGCCCCCTCGGGCATGTCAAAAAAGGGAAGAGACCGTCGTGTTTTGATATTGGGTAATATAATTGGAGAAAGCTAGAGAAACAAAAAAAAGGTGCATCAATATTATTTGACGAGCCCAGGACTCGATCGTATGATCTTGCAATTTCAGTTGATCCTCACCGTCGTCGTTCCTGTCGTTCCTTAAATGGGTGTCCGAATTGCCTCATTTTTGACTTGATATGCATGTACCCGAGGGTCAAAGTCTCTGCCAACCACCACTTTTCGGTTTTCAGATTTCCTTGTAAATTGACGGACGACAAGCTGGATCTACCTAGATACTATACTCCAAATTTGAAACTGTACTAAGACTAGGAAGAAAGATAAATCGAAGATATAAGATCCTAAGTGACATCTCAATTAAGTTTTTGTCCTATATGAAGAAGACAACGACTAATATTTCAACCAGCCCCCCCCAGTGGCCCAGCGGTATTATGGCCGGGGCATCCCACACCAGGATGTCGCAACGGGTTTTACTTGCTCCCCACTGTCGGTCGGACTCTTATATGCTGAAACTCTCCCGAAGCACTACACTAGGCAAACCCCCCGCGGAAGGGTATAGTCCCCCGTTACTTAGGGGGGAGGCCGTAGATTAGTACGGAGGGTAGAGGTGTATAGGCGGATGGCCGGAGGATGAGGACATACATCGAGTGACCAGACTCTGTCACTGTCCTATCTTGTGGTCTAGGAACGGTCTAGATTAATGGGGATCTTTTTTTGATGCTATTCACCTTTGATTTTCTCTCTTTCTTTCTTTACACATTGATACTATCCGTCTTGCTCCCTATTCCCTCATATTCAGTGTCCTTTCTTCTCGATGGTATCTCTTTCATGTCCTTTCCCCCCACCGTCCCATGAGGTTGTTAACCTTCTTTCCATCCGTATTACTCGACAACAAACAATGTTCACTTTCTTTCCTTCCTTCCCAGCATCCTTCATCTTCCGTCCTTCCTATGTACATATTTATTCTTCCTTCCTCTACGAAGGTTACCAGCACAACAACCGGGCTTTTTCCCTGCAGAAAATAGTAATGTACCTGGGTATAGTTTAGATTTCAGATGACTTTATAAAACTGCTTGGATTCAATATAAACTACTAGTCCTAACTAATCTCTGTGTACGAAAGTATGTGATATGCAGATCGTGACAGCTAATTCTTTTTATCCTTCTATAGCATTAGTAAAGGGAAGAAAATCTATAAATAACAAAAATATCTTGGGAGACATCTAGCCTTAGGACTACTAAAACAGAAATAACAAGGCTGTATAACATATTCTTGTATACTACCTAAGTATAAGTCGAGTGGGAAGGCAAAGAACTAAGGCCGTGGCCCGATTAGGCCGGTTGTCGTGATGGTCCCTAAATACCCGTATTTCTTCCTCATCTTAATGGTCTTTTACTCTTTTGAGACCATAATGTTCGAGCTAACGTAACTGCAGTTTGAGCGTCAAAGAGATGTTTCTCATCAGGCAACTCTACATACGGCTTTCTATGTATGCTTGGATGAGTTCTCAGGTGGATTTGCTTCGTCCTCCCGCATCACATATACATAAAGTCTACTTGACCGAATGCTCTCGACTACCTCCTTTCTACCATTCTGCACTTCTATCACTGATGGTATCAGAAACTGCAAGAACTATTGAAGGGTTACTTGAGCTGCTGACGAAAAATAGATCCATAAAGTCAATGTCGACACAATATCTTTGCTACTCCCTAGTAACATCCTTAGACTTAGAAGCGAGAGAAGGGCAACCTATTCATCTGTTAGATGGAAGTTCAGCAAGCACAGAGAAGACACTCTTACCATTTACCACGGAGAGTGATAACAGCCCAGTTATTACCATCCTCATCAGTCTCCTTCTCAACCTTTGTCGTAAACGAGATAGCACTCATGATCCCATCCCCAAACTTCTCATTGAGAACCGCCTTGTAGGCATAGCCATAGTTCTGCACGATCTCATACAGTCGGTAGATGAGGGGCTCCTTGGGTGGCATTTCGACTGAGCGGCCGCGATCGGGGAAGCCGTTGAGTTGTTCCTCCAAAGGTTGCTGGGGGATGTGAAGCAGATCGGCCAACTTTTCGATGTCTTCGCGCGACGCCTTGGCCTGGCCGTAGAATATGGCAGCTGCAGCTACTTCATTGCGACCGAGGTGCGCGCCAATCTTTTCGAAGCTTAGCTTGCGAGCTGCCTTGGCTTTAAAGAGCGTTGTGGACACGGCGGGGAGGTTGAAGTGCTCGGTAGTCTGAGATAAGGTCAGCGGGCTTTCGGTTGACAAATGGCATTCTCACATCCAGGGTTGCGAGAGACATGATGGAGTGATTTTGGTAAATGAAGGTATGACGGTTTGTGGCAATGCTTGATCCTTGATTGTTGGTAGTGGAAGATGTATGTCAGGTACTTGGGACAGATGTACTGCGGGGAAACAGCTTTGATGCAATATCTACATGTATGATTCATTCATGTCTTCCAGTGGCTTCCCACAATAAATGTATGTATGCAATTCTATTCACCTTGCGTTATGAGCACCAGGACTTTCTATCTACATTTTTGTACATTTGAAAGTATTGGAGCTAAATATAAGCACAAATTTAGGCCTCAGGCCATCCCATGACTTGGCATGGAAATCACATGGCGTGCTTTGAGCTATGGCTGATGAGCATTATATACAAGAACAATAACCACCATTAAACAGCCTCCTTGCTAAAGTTCAAGTATGTATATGTAGGCATCAAGGTCAACTCTCCCGCAGGTGCCGAAGGTTCTCGGAATCACATTTGCGTAGATGATCGTCCAGATCCACCAACCTAAGCTCCTTTGGGAAACCACTGCGAGCAGCCAATAAGGGCACACTCTGGCTCCACTTGCCTGATTGATACCATCGAAGTATGGCGGAAAATAGACAAAACCTTTCGACCTACGCTCTACCACATGCTTTGCAGGCAACCTCGGTCTCTTCCATACATATAAAGATAAACAAGATAAAGATGCGCTATCCTCAGAATTGGTCTGTTCCTGAACTCCAGAAGACCTACCGTTCACTATGGCCACTGGAAATCCGATGGATAATATGAAATCCACATGGCGCACATGGGACCCAGACAAGTGGAAACTGCCGCACAAGATCTTCGAGCATGCCAACGTATATCACATCGAACTCAACAGGGACGTTCCAATCCATTGCAAAGAAGACAAAATACCATACGTATCCGACTGGTCGTTAAACCGCTGGGTTCTTATTAATTCGGGAGTTCCACTTCTGGTCCACCAGCTTTTTACCTACTTCACCGGATACAATTTCCACCCGATCATTGCCTTCTTCTACTACTACTATGCCTCAAGGCTGTTCACGACACGCGAGCTGCGGATTCTCCGAGAGCTCGGCCATACCCACGGGTTCCTAGACGGAGACAAACATGAGCGAGACGGTGTACCCGACGTGGGGGTTTCAAAAGCTCTAATCTCGGTTCTCCTGGCCGGATTTGTGCGACCACTGATGACCGTATGGCTCACCTACGATGCAGATAACGCACCTGCCTCGCTCAGCTGGACTTGGCTGCTCGTTGAGATCAGTCTTTATGGCATCATCCTTGATTTTTGGTTCTATTGGTACCACCGTGTCATGCATGATGTGAATCGTCTCTGGAAATTCCACCGTACCCACCACCTCACGAAACACCCGAACCCACTGCTCACAATCTATGCGGACTCGGAGCAAGAATTCTTCGACATTGCCGGTATTCCGTTGATGACATGGTTTACGATGAAAGTCATAGGCATGCCGATGGGATTCTACGAATGGCACATTTGTCAAATGTACGTTATCTTTGCAGAGCTGGCTGGGCATAGCGGTCTCCGTCTCCATGCATCGCCACCCAACCCTGTGACGTGGTTGATGCGGGTGTTCGATGCTGAATTGGTCATTGAAGACCATGATTTGCATCATCGTCGGGGATGGAAGAAGAGCCATAACTATGGCAAGCAAACACGGGTGTGGGATCGTCTCTTTGGAACATGCAGTCCCCGTATCGAGAGCGTGGACGCAAATATCGACTATGATAATCCTGTTAGCGTGCCGATTTTGTGATATATCATTGCAGGCACTATTTGCTTTTCATCGGTGGAACGGCGCTTTAGTACGATGGACATAGAAAAAGGTTAGAATATCACTTGCAGCTTTTAAAACAGTCCTATTTCATTCAACACCACCTCGTTTTATGTATTCAGTCTCATTCTTGCTATAAGCTGTGTTATTGATCAAAAACGTAGGTCTTCATCCAACATCAGTCAGCGTGTCCCAGCAAGCAGTGAGCCTCTATGCGTAAAGTGGTGACCACAGAAGTTAAAGAAACTGGAGAGGGCCTTGCATCCATTTCCATAGCTGTTGCTTGCTATTTCCTCCTTCTGGACTCGCCATCCTTGTCTCCAGGCTGGCTTACCTCAGACGAGATCCGATATCTTGAAGTGCGCCAACTAGCCTCCAATAACCACAGTGGTCATCACAAAGGATTCGACGAGTAAATAATCTTCAGCTTCCTTTTTGATCGGAAGATGTGTCTTCTCATACTTGCCACCTGGTCCAATGCTGTTCCCAACTACGCAATCAAGTTCGGCATGCCCGAGATCATCAAATCCATGGGCTGGCTACAAATCAGCCAACACCCAACTCCATCCCCCCATACCCGTGGACGCCGTTGGCGCTGGGTCAGCATACGGCCTTTCCGTGTTCGCCGATCATTTCTCGTGGAGAATGCTTTTCATCGTGGCGCTGCAGTGCTCACTCATAGTCGCATTCGGAATATTATTTTCTAAGGCTGCCGATATCGAAAATGACATAGCACTGTGCTACTTTGGCATTTGTCTCGCTTGCTTCGGAATGTATCCCATTCTCCCCGGTGTCAACGCTTGGAATCATTCCGAATCCACACAAGCGCGCCGTGGCTATCGGTTATCTAATTTGCGTTGGTAATGTGGATGGGATCATTGGGAGCTATATTTACAGAGCTGAAGGAAGCCACGATATCCCACTGGTTGTAGAACTTCACTTGCGTTCGCTGCTGCTGGAATTATGGCTTGTTTATCCTTCAATTTTGTCTCTGGAGTGCAAACAAAAAGAAAGCTCTCATGACTCTGTGTCTGAGATTGAGGAGAAGTATACTGAAGACTAGCTTCAAGAGAAGTAGGAGCGGAGCCCTATTTCAAGTATAGCTTGTGAGATATTACGTGGATAAATTTACTGGACGAGGACCAGGGGAATTGATGAAAATGACTTCTCAGAAACGGCCTTCCCACGTAACTGACAAAAGTACATCAAGGACTACCAAATAACCCTAGACCAAAAGATATTCTAAATCAATAGAAACACATCCAGCAATGATATCCTCCCTATAGTGTTCTGCGTATTTCAGGGCAAGGGCAGCACAGTCGTTCATGGGAAGACTTAGATCCATCGGAAACGACACATGCAACTTCCACTGATGGTGCATGGCAATACCTTTTGTGATTTCAAATAATCCATTTTGAATACGTTGAATCACAATATTCATCAAGTCCTTATCGGAGAGCTCGGTCTCGTGCTCTAGAAATTCCACTGACACCCACCATGCCTATCTGGTAGAGGAGATATGATCCTCAAAGATAGGCAGGCCATCTTGGATAAAGATTGTTCGCGTAGAGGGCATAGTCTTGCTGGTAGTAAGGAAGCCTGGATCAAGTGTTTTATGTTGCCTGAAATAGAATACATACTCCCATAGGCGGTGAGTCATTATTTATGTCCGTAACAGTATCCACGCAAGCAATGATTCAGACCCGATCCATAGGGTCTTCCAGTCTTCATGCTGGTTTCACTATCTTAAGACATCACTTGTAACTAAAACTGTGTGTTACTCTCTGTCCTAGGCATCCCAATGTCTCACACAAAGCCTTTATATTAGCTGGCATGGAACAAAGAGCACATGAAAGAGGAACAGTTGAACGTTGATCACCGCTTATCACTTGTAATATAAGAAGCCCGGTCCCATTATAGAATTAACCACTGTCAAGTTCATTAACCTTTCTCAACATGGAAAAGAAGTCAACGACAGATGTTTTCATGGGCATCCCACATGAAGACGCGCTAGAGATTGCACGTGGTAACAAAACCAATGTATATCGCAGCTACTCCTCTCCCGGCCACCGTTCGCCGCATCTGGTTCTACACCACCGCTCTATTACAGTTTATTGAGTATGTGGTGTGTATCACACAATGGAGTTGAATCCAACATGGAAAACAAGCAACCCAGATACGGTCACAAGGTTCGCCAGGTATGGATGTTGAAACGCCCTATTTACCTGCATCAGGCTATCTCGCGAAAGCGCCCCCGCGAAATTACTGTTGGGCGACCGAGAGTCTCTTGGACGACAGTCCTTTCTATCGGCAGTATCTAGTAAGAGGTCCGAAGGAAATCATCTGGTAAAGGACAACGCACCAACTTTTTACTTCCCGGAACAATCAGTTATCTTTCTTCCTTCTTTTATGTTTAAAGCAATCTTGAATACTAAAGTCGCGGAATGTTCGCCCGGGCTAGCTCTATTAAGCGAGTGAAACCACCGGGGCCCTACCTATTATAGTAACAGTATCAGGATTAATTTACATTAATTGCTTGTGGTCTGAAGGCTGAAGGTGAAGGCTGCTGGTTGGCATTGACCCTCCAACACATAATGCATACTATGTATGCATGGAACTGTGTGCAACATGCAGCTATACCTACATATGTAACCTGGCACTACAATTTCAGATATTATTTAGACCTATTGGCAATGTGTCTGGGTTTCAAAACCATCCAAGATATCTATTTCAACTGTGGGGTTCAATTATAACTAGTAGTCTGCGATGTACATCGCTCCATATATTAAGAGCTCTTATTGCCTCCAAACACCAGGTGATGTATGAAAAGTAAGACAGTCTCCAATTTAGCACACACTGTTAATCTCAGTGGTTGAGCTGTTGACACTCTAGTAATACAATATAGGGCACTTTCTTAATCCTGTCTACGTATGTAGATTGTTGAAATATAGATCATCCATGTATGTATCCAATAGAATCACAGAATAATGCAAATAGTGGATCTACCCGTAGACCGAATTAGTTCCGAAGGACTCCTATTGGTCCGATTATTGATCATTCAAAGAATTCCTCCGGCTCACAGGTTGATGAATGATCACGGCGTGTTTTCCCTCCGTAAATGTTTGACATCAGCTTTCTACTGTGGGTTGATTCAAAAGATTTCAGCGGTGTAGCAACATCTAGCCTATACATATAAATTGAGGCCCAGAGTATTGATGCATCTGATTTCTCAATTCTCTCATGGTCGAAATCTGTATCTGACCACAATATCATGGAACCAAAACCGTTCAAAGTCGTCATCGTGGGTGGCAGCGTTGCCGGGCTCTCGCTAGCCTTGATGCTGGAGAGGAATGGCATCGATTTCGTCATCCTTGAAGCGTACGGCAGCATTGCACCCCAGGTCGGGGCTAGTTTCGGCGTTTTGCCAAACGGCTTTCGCATTCTCGATCAGCTAGGTTGCTATGAGTCAGTTGTAAAGATGGCTGAATACCCTGTCGACAAATTCCGCTTCCGTGATTCGCGAGGACAACCATTCTGGACGTTCGATGACTTTAACGCCACTTCAATCGGAAGGTCTGTCGTTGCAATCTTGTATGCCGATATTGAGACAGAGTCAACTGACAGTACCTCAGTCATGGTTACCCCGTTGTCTTCCTCGACCGACGAATGTTAATAGAAGTTCTCTATGAGAAGATCCAAAATAAGGCTAAAGTGATCACCTCTCAGCGGGTCCAGAGTATTGAGAATGGTACTTCGAGTGTCACGGTTACCACAACGACTGGCCAAGCCTACACCGGGAATATCGTGGTGGGAGCAGACGGAATCCATTCCAAGGTCCGTCAAGAAATGTGGAAAGCGGCCGAAAAGATAGATCCCACGTGGATTGATCCCACAGAGGAATCAGGTATGAGAACCAAACTCAAGCACTTGAGAAGCATTGGCTAACTCTTGTAAAAGCACTGCCTGCAACTTATGCTTGCATCTTCGGCATTTCCAAAGGCGTGAAGGGAATCGAGAAAGGCATGCTGAACTCGGTGTTCAATAAGCATTACTCGTATCTTGTGCCCAGCGGACCCGCAGACCTGACCTACTGGTTTCTCGTGCGGAATATGGGAAAGACGTACTATGGTGCAGATATCCCTCGGTTCACCAAGGAGGAAGAGGAGGCACTTGCAAAGGAACATTTCGACGACCAGATCACTCCTACGCTTCAATTTTCCGCTCTGTATAAGAGCAAAATCGCCTCGGCGTACAGCAGTCTGCCAGAATACGTCTATAAAAGATGGCATTTCCAGAGAACTATGACTATTGGCGATGCCAGTCACAAAGTGAGTCTACTTACCTGGGATCAAGATCATGCGACGACTGACCAGTATGGCGTCCACTAGTTTGAGCCTTTAACAGGCCAGGGAGGCAATAGTGCGATGGAAACCGCCGCATCCCTGACGAATCATCTCGTTGCGGCTCTCAAAAACTGCCAGTCAGGGACACTGTCGTCGACAGAGATTTCCAGAGTCTTTGAGAACGTTCAACAGCAGCGTGAAAAACGTGCGTGGGGATTGGTCAAAGCATCCCATGCCCGGCAACGTCTAGAGTGCCTGGAAACACCCTTCCTGAAGTTTATGGCAAGATACGTGGTGCCACACTTCCCCAAATCCGTTGTCCTCGACAAATGGATCGACACATATTCTCCCGCAGTGTCCTTGGACATGCTTCCGCTGCCGCACAGGCATCGAGAAATTGCATATTTCGACGAGCGCTTCAGAGCACCATCATCTCGGGGTGTGGTGGGAATCTTGTTGTACGCTGCGTACTTCCTCTTAGCCTGGCTAGGCTATCGCCAACTGTCCACAGCAATCAGAGAGAATGGGACAATGGGGCTGGTCCGTCAGGCAATCCAGAACCAGTCGGTTCCCCTCTCAGGAGGAGTTGAAGCTCCCCTCCGCCAGGTGTACACGGGGCTCCGATCTGTTGACCTCATTTTGAAAATCTTGGTAACAATATTCCTGCCAGCGGTCACAAACTTCTCTACACCGGAGCAGCCATTGCAAGTTCTGTACTTCCTGGCTTCGATGATGCCAATCATCGCTATCTGGACGGTTGAAGGGTTCCGACCAAGGAACAAATGGACCCTTCTTGCCACTCCGAGTCTATGGGCGGTTTTGTATCAGTTGCGAGGGATAGGGCTGATTGCACCGCTGTATTTCGCATCCAGCACCTATATTTCCGCTGGGATACAATATTTCTCCCCGAGTACCCGCACCCTTCCTGAATCCACCGCTCGAGCGATACTGCTTGCACTGATATTGGGATTCATCGTGCCCACAATCATGCTGTTCTTCCCATTGGCCGATGCCCTGAAAACGCGACAGGTCTTTATTGCGCTGTGGCAGCCCGCTCCGGTATATGTGGTTATCTTGACTCAGATATTCTCCCGTGTTATCAAATCGATCGTTTCGAGCACACCGGGCAAGACCGATACCGCCGCAGCGGAGAGCAAATCTAACCGTGACATCCCACACTTGCAAACCCTCTACGCTGTCGCTGGTTGTGTATCTGCTTGTTTCCATGTGGCCTTGCTGCTGAGCTGGGCTGCTTTGGGGACAACCTTTATCACCAAGGCATTCATCCCGTCTGATGCCTTCGCACAGGTGGCAACGCTTGCGGACGGTGTCTTCGTGTTTTTCCAGAACGACTTCTTCCTTGTTGCAGCGGCAACTCTCCTGTGGTGCCTAGTGAGCGTGTGGGATCTATATCGCCTTGGGGTTTCAAATATTTCCTGGAAGATGGCACTGGTCGGTTTGATTCTGGGTTCCGTGGTAATTGGACCGGGTGCGAGTGTGGCAGCTGTGTGGTATTGGCGGGAGGAGGTTATGAGTCGGACATCTTTCCGCCGGCATGGTCCGGGTCTCTAGCTCAACCTAGGGTACTTTATGGTGCAATTTTGGCGTTGGAGGGCCATATGATCAATGAAGAAGCCCACCACTCCTAAGAATTGGAGAAACAAAGTTGGGGTAGTTAGATAGCTTCGAACGATATTGCATCTGATTGATCGAGTTATTGCACAAGTGTGTGCGTGTAGGGGTGTGTGTGTGCATGTGTGTAGTAAGGAAATTGGGTATTATAACCGCAAGTTGAAAGACATAAATGCACACAAGGCTACCCTGGACAAACTCCAACTGAGATCCACCTCACATTGTGGGATACTACCCTCTCGACATCAGACCGGCGAAAGCCAGCCACACAGCCCAGAGCGACTGGAAGCTGGCTCAATCCTGGCTAGGTTAGCTTTTATCGTTCTATTTAGTGCCAACAATAATAGCAAGCAATAGTGTAAGCGTACTGTTAACGAGTTTATACTCATCGATGACCATCATCATACTGCCTGGCAATTGCCCTTGGGGGCTCTCTAAGTTCGAAGGCACGCCGCCTGGGCTGGATGGATAAGATATCGTAAGGGCGGACGAAGGAAACTGGCCCACACCGATGCCTTGATTGAACAGGTATCTCTCGACATCATGCACATCAAACCAGTCTTCATCAGCAGGAACATGAGACACGCCATTTGTTGTTCGGAAGAGGGCGAAGCTATCTGGAAAAGCGTCACCAGAAGTTTGTAGAAAGTGTGTTCCTGCACCACCGAGGCTGATATATGGGAATCGAGCATCGATGATAGGATGGCAAGGTTCCATGCTCATGACACGTCCGAAATAATCTCGGATCTCTGCTCGTGGCATTCTTTGTAAGAGTAGTCCAAACTCCCACATATCTTCATCTCTATATGAGAGGTTAGACAGAAACCGATGGCCACTTTCAGCACAAGCGCGGAAAAGCCGTTGAGTGAAGGACGTGGTTGCGTATTGGATGGTGTGTGTTTCAGCAATAGATGGTGCCACAGAAATGGGAACCAAGACATTCAATTGGTTATCTAGGGTCCAGGTATTAGTCGACGGAATAATGCCAGCGGATGAGGCCAGAAAAAGCTTCCAGAAGTCAGACTGCGAAGTGTGATCTTTTAATCTGCCGATTGACACCTCGGATGCGACCTGCGCGTGGGCTTGCTCATTGACAGACGGGGATGGTTCTGAAGTTTGGTTCTTTGGGGACTCTTGAAAGTGAATATCGGCCCGCTTGAAATGGGAGACTATATCATCCCGCAGCAGCTGGACTGTCCGGAAAAGTTGAGGTTGGGACCACTGCGACCCATCCCGGATCACTTGATTATCGAATATGTGCATCGTCTGGCTCAGCTGATTAAGTACATCTTCCAGTTGCTCTACCCGAGCTTTTAGTGAAGAGAGTTGAGACTGTTGGCGAGATCGGTACGCCTGTTGCGCTTCGCGGACCTGGGCGCGTCGTATCTGTGCCAGGGGTGAGGCCGAGTTATCATGTTTACTTGCAGGAAAGGGGCCTCACGGATTTCGCATCTTCAACTGGTTTTCGGGGTCGCCCAAGAGAGCGCTTTACTTGTGCTGTGGGCATTGTGGTGCAATTCGAGGTTATGGAGGTTCACTAGTTGGCTCAGTGAGATTCCTGAATATCGGAACGCCAAGCCCGCACTCCGAGCAGACGTACGGAGTACTTGACCTCGTGTTTGAACTTAGGCTCATTAGTATATTTCACATAGGGATTTTCCTATTTTCATGCACATATGTTTTGATGATCTCTTTTTGTCTATCTATCATCAAATAACTTGAGATCTGTGAGTAAAAACGGCGTTTTAATACATCCAACATTGTCTCACTATTCTATTGCCTAAATCCAAGAATATCCCAGAAATATCCCAACTTGCAAAAGTAATCATGTCAGCTTATGGAGTACATATAGGTACACCGCCACGTTCACCACGTTCCCACCGTGGCTGGGTAGCGGGGCCTTCATCGGATTTAAAACGAAGTCGCACCCCGCTCTGCAGGCACCCTTATTTCTTGACCTTTCTGCGTTTCTTTCGTCTTGTTGAACGTTCTTCTATTTTATCTACAAATTATTTTGACCCGTCAGAATGTCCAAGCAGGATGATCTGGCCTATGGTGGCTACTACCAGGACACGGAACGTGGGTCCGGAGATGGATCCCGTGGTCTGGGTGATACATTCAAGAAGCTCCGGGACACCTACAAGAGCCATGGATCCTCACAGGGCCAGACTAACCAGACTTACAACCCAAGTGGTTATCAAGGCGTACGCTTCACCCTCCTTCAGGCCCAACATTCACTAACCGGTTCTCTACAGCAGAGTTACCCAACCCAGACCGAACCGCAATACCAGACCCAAAACACAAGTGGACAGCACCAAAACCCTAATTATCACGGGAAACCCCAAAAGGAAGACAAACTGTCCGGCTTCTTGGGGAAACTTCAAGGTACTGTGACCGAGTTTGGTTCCGAATTTGCGCAGAAACTCGGTACCACCATCGATCCACAGGCGTATGCCGAGTATGGTCCCAGCAAGCCCAACACAGAGCACCGATTTGGCAGTTTCGCTCCTCCCCGGGAACATAACGATGCCAAGTGGTATGTGGATGGATGCAGCTATTTCTGGGCGGTATCGCGAGCTCTGGAAAATGCCCGAGAGTCGATCTGGATTCTGGACTGTGAGTTTCAATCTTCCCCGGATTTTCATCGCATGCGGCTAACTTGACTTAGGGTGGTTATCTCCCGAACTTTATTTGAGAAGGCCGCCGGCGAAGAATGAACAGTACCGATTGGATCGCATGCTGCAAGCTGCAGCCCAGCGGGGCGTGCGCGTCAATGTCATCGTTTATAAGGAGGTTACGCAGGCGCTTACTCGTATGTCTATGATCCTTGAACATAGAAACTAACTCAGCTAACAATCCCTACAGTATCCTCTTCTCACACAAAACATGCCCTAGAAGATTTGCACCCCAATATCGCTGTCTTCCGTCACCCCGACCACCTGCCTGACCGCCAAGAGCTGGCAGCTTCCATCGCGTCGTCCTTCCAGAACATGTCACTCGACTCGGCAAGTTTGAGTAAGATGTCAAAGGACACACTGAAGGGACTGTACGGAATGAACGATGATGTCATTCTGTATTGGGCTCATCACGAGAAGCTTTGCTTGATCGATGGTCGGGTTGCATTTATGGGTGGCTTGGACATGTGCTTCGGCCGCTGGGACACAAACCAACATGAGCTGTCGGATCTACATCCCTCGGACGTCAGCCAAACCTTGTTTCCTGGCCAGGACTACAACAATTCTCGCGTCCTTGATTTCCAAGATGTCGTCCACTGGGAGAATAACCAGCTGGATAGAAAGACTATGTCTCGGATGGGATGGTCTGATATCTCCGTGAGCCTGCACGGTGCAGCCGTGGAAGATTTGCGGCGCCACTTTGTGGAGCGATGGAACTTCATCTATGATTTGAAATACAAGGTTCGCAGTGACTCTAGATACGCGAGACTGGCACTCCATGGAAGGCCCGCTTCCTTGACTGGCCAACAACAGGCTGCTTCTCCACAACCCAACTTGTACCCCTCGGGACAGGCAAGCCCACTGGGTCAGCCACCTGCGCCATCCTGGCAGCAGAAGCCTAGTGGGGCCGTATCGCCTACCTACCCGCCGCCACCAGGTCAGACGTCGTCGAGTTCACATCAAGAGTCGCAGTCGCACTCGCAGTCCCAGCCTCAGTATCAACAATCTGCCGGAGTGTATCAGCCCTACAACAGTACTAGCACTTCAAGTTATCAACCACCGCCGACTCAGACCTCGTCAAATCAGCACCAATATCAGCAGCAGAACACGTCTACCTCGTACCAACCTAATAATGCTTCAACCTATCCCCCACCCCCAAGTCAAAGCCCCCTAGGCCATCAATCTCAATCCGCTCAGTCTCCGAGTCATGATGCAAGCCAGTACAGCTACACTGGGAATTCATTCCCTCCTCCCCCGCCTGGACCGCCTCCGGCGCAATCCAATACCAGCACCTCGTATCAGCCGTATCAACCAGGCCAGCAACAGGAGCAGAAGCCATATTTCCCACCCCCACCAGGCCAGGAAGCATCGCACTCCAACACCCGTGGAATCGATGACTACAAGCACGAAGGTGATCGCGAACGAGGTTCTTTGGTGCCCCGTCGCTTCCGAGAGGACTTGACTCAGTATGGCAGCTCCCTTCGTGGTCAGCTCGCCGGACAAATTCACCAATACCAGGACCGACTGACCACATATGGCCGCCCTTCGTCCTCGCAAGGCCGAGGGAATATGTCATGCCAGATTGTGCGCAGCTGTGCGAAATGGAGCAACGGCAGCCAGCTTGAGCATTCAATTGCGGACGCATATTGCGCCATCATCCGAAACAGTGAGCACTTTGTCTACATCGAAAACCAGTTCTTTATCACTGCGACCGGTGATTCGCAACGTCCAGTGAAAAACCAGATTGGTGCCACAATTGTGGAGAGGATTTTACGTGCTGCCCGTGCCGGTCAGAAATATAAGATCATTGTGGTCATTCCATCCGTTCCTTGCTTTGCCGGTGATTTGCGAGATGATGAGACTCTCGGAACACGCGCGATTATGGAGTTCCAGTACAACTCCATCAACCGCGGAGGCCACAGTATCATGGAGATGATTGCCAAGGAAGGATTTAACCCCATGGAATATATCCGTTTCTACAACCTTCGCAATTATGATCGGATTAACAACGGTAGCATGATGGCCGCAGCTGAGCAGCAGAGTGGTGTCAACTACGAGGATGCCCGCAGGCAGTACGATTTGAACACAGCAGGCCCTGGTGGATACGCCCCGAGCACTACTCGTAGTGCTTTCGATACTACCGCGCCGTTCCAGAAATATCAGCAGGGCGCACAACAGGTACAAGGCAGCCATGCTTCCTCGAGCCGGTGGGACAGTGTGAGCGATTGCTATATGCTCGGCGGAGAGGATATTCGCAAAGTGCCGTGGGATGGCCACCCCGATGCCGAAATTGATGCGTTTGTGAGCGAAGAGCTTTACGTTCACTCAAAGGTTCGTTCCCGACAATTCAATTATTATCCAAAATTCTAACAAAAGCACCAGGTGATGATCGCCGACGATCGTGTAGTTGTTTGTGGTTCTGCGAACATAAACGACCGTTCTCAGTTGGGGGACCATGACTCCGAAATCGCAGTCGTTATCGAAGACTTCACGCCTGTGGCATCCAGCATGAATGGTAAGCCATGGACTGCCAGTCGTTTTGCTTCGTCTCTCCGCCGCCAGTTGTTCCGGAAGCACCTGGGTCTTTTGCCACCGCAGGACTATCGACGACCGGATGCAAACTTTGAGCCCGTGGGAGTTCCCAACCAATTCGATTTTGAGTGCCCTGAGAGCAAGGTCGTTGGTGATCCGCTTTCCGACACTGTCCAGAGTCTTTGGAACTCACGGGCGCACACGAACACCGAGGTGTTCCGGAAGGTATTCCATGCGGTTCCGGACGACTCGGTCCGCAACTGGGCTGAATACAAAGAGTTCTATGAGTACTATTTCCACAAGACGGAGAAGAGCGCTGAGGGCATGGAAGGATCTGCACGTCCGGCGCGGTTCCAATGGGGCCACGTCGTGCGCGATGACTTTGCGCCTGGTGCCGAGGGAGCGAAGCAGGTTAAGGAACTGCTTAGCCAAGTCAAGGGTACTCTGGTTGAGATGCCTTTGATGTTCTTAATCGAGGAAGATATCGCCAAGGAAGGATTGACTCTGAATGACTTGACCGAGCCAATCTATACCTAAGTGGGAGATTGCATTTACCGAGTTGGGACTTTATCGTTGCTCATCTCATTTATTCTCGAATTCCAGCATTATTATTAGCTAAGTTGTTGAGCCTAAGCGAAGTCTAACTTCTTCTTTCTTCGGGGACCACTGCTTTCTTTCATGTCCCTAAGTGCAAATGACGACACTCAACGTGCAATCAAACATATCTGAAATTTGTGTGATGCCAAGCCCGAGATGATATTGTTCTTGAACAATCGTAAGCGCAATATGATTGTGATGATTGGTCGACCTAAACTTCCTTTGTTCGCGACGCCCTTCCTCCCATTGGACGAAATCAAACGTACTGCAAAATGTTCTTTGGTACTCTGAGACCCCGGCTTAATATTGTTCTTTCCCTATGAAAGACTCATGAATGTGCCAACTACATGTGCCTGGGAAAAGGCCACTCTCGAACATGTCTGTGGCGTTCCTTCATGAAAGACACGCCTCGGAGGATATGTCATGTGGTCAATATCAACGTCCCTCGATGAATGCACTGACTGCATCTCAAACAAAGAGCAAAAGCTAGAGCCAAGGATGCCTACATTCATGGGCCCGAGAACAATATCAAACAGCCCCGCAATGGGCATCCACCGCAATCCCAACCCCATGCATTCTGGATTGATTCTATGCCTTCATCCCAATGCGTTCGAGTCAGCAGTCCAATTTGATATTTGCATTGACTGCTATTCCCCAGGCGGGATCTCCATCATTGATAGTCCGAAGAATAGGCCCTCATCGAATATAAATACCAGCTGGTGCACCCAGTTTCAATTATTTTCTCCACCACCAGCTCTCATTTCGATCTGTTCAAAACAATCTTCCAATCTTTCCAAGCTCCCGCTTTTTAAGCTCCTCTCAATCTTCGAAATGTCTCGCGCTCAGGTCCAGAAGCGATGTGAGTAACTTGCCCCCAAAACATACACTGCTTCACCATCTCTTCTATACATTCATATACTAAAATGTTCTCTCTGATAGCCCCCGGCGGTGGCTGCGTCGTCATGAAGTCCCCCGGTGGTGGCTGTGTCGTCATGAAGTCTCCCGTCCCCAACGGCTGCGTGGTCACCAGAACCCCCGGAGCTGAGTGCAACATTATGAAGCGGTCTCCCGGCGGTGGCTGCGTCGTCATGAAGTCTCCCGGTGGCGGCTGTGTCGTCATGAACCGTGAGTACCATCTACTCTGTAAATAACGAATGATATACTGACCATGTCTTCATGGATAGCCGCTGACTTCTAAACGCCCTCCATGAGCGCCCCCAATTCCAACTTTCCATCAAACACCATGGCTCCACCTGGCTCGTTGGTTGCCATGGCTGACATTGAAACGCATTAATTCCTTGACGATCTTCGCCGCGGACTCTTGAGGACACTTTCAACTTTTCAACCAAAAAGATCAATCCCTCGAAACATGACCTCTCAACTTTACTTTTGCTTTTGCGAAGACTCTTTAGTCTGTCTGTCCAGTTCATTCTTTCTTCGACGAGAACAGCTCATTTCTTTCGACGGTCTTGGATGATCTTCACGACTGTCGACTCCGATTTGTTCTGCTCTTTCGAACCCTTCGTGGACGATCCGGGTGACGACGGTTCCTTAGAAAGGACTTGCTTTCTGTTCCTTCAGCTACATCAGGGGGATTTTCATTACATACCTCTAAATTGATTGATTGTGTTTCTCTTTTCAATGTGGAGCGGGTTCCTCTGGTTTCTTGTCTGGTTGGTGGTTTATATGGATCGGGCTTTATTTCTTAGTTAAATCGGTCATGGTAGTTGATAGGAATGGATCATTGCCTGAAAGAAACTTTTCTCCTTAGATATTTTCTGTTCTAGTTCAGCTGTAGTTAGAGAAAAAGGCGCATAGTAGCCACCTTCCTATTTTGGAAGGGTTTCCTTATGTTGGACTTTGCACAACACGTACGTACAGTAATCTAGGCGGTGTCAGTGCGGATTATATTCATAAGAAAATAAAACCGTTCATTCGTAGAAATATCATATCTACTCAAAATTCTATACAAGTAGCCTGGATCTGTACTTATTCCCAGACATCCATCTTCTTCCGTATCGCAGACACCTTAGCCTCTTGCGCCTCAGAATATTCACTCAGATCCCCTTCGTCGGAACCAAATGCGTCGCTAGCTGTCTCCTCAATTTGATCTAGTGTGAGGCCAATAAGTCCCACAGACCGTGCATTGCCAATCTGGCACATTTCCTCGCCCACCGCAGCTTCGATGACACCCTCGCCTCCCTTCGCTGTGAGATCGTCCTCGAAGCTCCGGAATACTTGCCGGAGAGGGTTCAGGACATGGCCGCGGAAGAACTTGGCAGTCTTCTCAAGATGGAGCTGGTCGCGTAGCGATGGCGAGGAGAGCAGCAAGTAGTACAGATTCAATGCGGAATGAAGCGGTGGGCCTTGAGTTTGGGTCAGACGAGACCAGCTAGCAACGAGATCGGATGCTGAGCTGGCGGCAGTGACCGGTTTGAAAAGAGCTGGGAATATAGCCCAGAAGTAGAGCGGATCTTGGAAGATATTGTCGGAAGACGGGGCGGGGCTGCGGAGTAGTTCATCCTTCAGCCATGCGATGGCGCTATCCCGCGCCGGGGCAAGACGGTCATCTTGCAAGATCTTGTGTATGAGCTTAAACCGCGTCTCGGGTGATGGGTGGCTCTGGACAATGGCGGCCGGGATCTGGCGAACGATGCCGTGGCTCTGGCGTGCTGTGCATGCTGTCAAGATAACAACGAAGTCCTTGAACTCGGTATCGCTTGACGGGGTTTCGATGGGGTTTTGCAGAGCGTAGACGGTCAAAGCCAACAGGGAGTCGAGAAGCGCATGGGGTTGACCGAAAGCCACTTCGTCGAGATTGGTGGGGCTGCCGACAAAGTTGTTGAATATCCGAGCCAGCTCAGGGAAAACAGATACCTGACGGGGCGGCTGCCCAGAGGCAAAGAGGGTTGCGCCTGCAGCCCGAGCCGCTAGTAGTAGCAGTGAACCATGTCGTTCTAGCGGAATCTGATCGGGGTTTGTTGGTGGTTCATCGAAATCAAGTTGCGCGGTTTGCTCTGCCGGGGATCCAGATATGATTGATAGGAGTTCCTCGTTATCAATTCCAGCGTCTCGTGATAAAGCCTGAGAAAAAGCAACGTCAGATTAATCGTCCTCAGATTTGACATGTCGCTGTCCATAATTTGGTGTCATTTACCATAAGCTTTCCCATAATCATATCTCGCTCCTTGAGCTCCTTGGTCGATCCATATGCCTCAGTTTGCGATTGGGTGGCGGGTAGCCGCAGATCCGGATGCAGGTGTTCCTGCATTCGAATGGTCCACGACATTCCCGGATCCATTGGGCTGGAGAAACTCAAGAGATATGACTTCAGCAATTCAAGCAAGCCGAATTGTATGAATTTCCGAACAAGAAGCGTCTCGTTATCAGCAAACGGAGAGGGCGAGGATACCTCGGCTTCGGGGTCTGGGGCGGAGGCAGCGGCAACCTTCAGCACGCTCGACTCGCTAGCAGCTCTGGGAGGTGGCGCAGGCCGCTTGGTGGGAGACACTTCGCGGAAGAACTCAAGGAAGGCAAGGGTGGTCTCATTGGTTGCCATTGTGGTGTACGCTTCCAGTGCTGCTTGGAGGGAGGTTGCTATGAACCGACTTGGAGCCTTTGTCTGGATCCGTGTGTGAAGTACCGAGAGCATGCCGAGAAGGCAATTGAACTGTAGGATGTGCAGGGGTAGTCCCTGATCAGCCTTGTGGTCCTCGTCCTCCTCGTCCGGCTGAAGTTGCATCAGAGATTCGGAGACGCGCAAAATCACTTCTCGGGGATTTCCTAGTCGAGCCACATCCTGTAGGCACTCCGTAGACGCTGGTAGCATGGGCAGGAGCAGCTTAACCAAGTCCCAGCCGATGTTCGTCGTAAGCTTCTCATCTTGCAGGAGAGTGTGCAAAAGCGGCAGACGTTCTGGGGTTAACTGATACTCTAAAAGAGTGAGGTAGGTCAGGTAGTCTGTAGCTGGAGGCAATGCTTGAACAAGAGGGTCCTCCATGGTGGTGGTGTCGACTATTCGATGTCGCAGGCGCGGGGAAGATGAAACACGGCGATGACATCAGCGGCAGAATCCCGAAGAAACACGGGCCGATCACATCTCCGAACTACAGACGGGATCAATTTGAACGCATTAGTCTTTCTTTCGCACTGTTATATTCATGAATGCTGGTCTGTATCTGTGGTTTTGCCCAATTCGGTAAAAAGGTTGCGACAGTGCAGGGTTTTCTTATCATTTAGAGCTCTAACTATCTAGTACCTTAGTGTCTTGATCTTTGTCTATTAAAAAAAGCTGCAGAAGAAAAATCACTTTCCTATAACCTTCACGTTTACTTACACCAGGTGATGACAGTATAGACATATCGGGCGACGCCAGAGACACTACATCAGGCGATCGTAAAGACAGACCGGGCGACATTAGAGACATTGCTGTGCGCCCTTAGAAATCACTATAATTACTCCGTGTAAACGAGCTGAATCTAAAGGGAGACCGGACCTAGGGGAGAATGATGTGTAAAGTGCCGTAAAATGGGATAAAAGTGACTCCTATCATCTTATGGGCTACCGATCTATCCAACGGAGGCAGAACTGTCCATACAGCCACATTCCATTAAAATCAAAGGATTGGCGGAGAGAAGTTTCTCTAAACTACAGAGCTTTCCAAAATAATGAGGCTCCAACCTTGGAAGGCGTTGTGGGCTATGCAACGCCTATTATTGCACAATATAAGCTCATTCTGGGGTATTCTAAAACCGGCAGGATTCCGACTAAAAAGGCGGGATCTGAGATCGAGCCAATAGACTTACAGTAGTCACGTGGCGGTAGGCCTGATCCCCACTAATCGAGGGGAACTAGTCCTAATTAGGTAGACTCGTTGTTTACTATGTATTATCTAAGCAAATTGTTAGAAATCGAGCAAATTCATTAATAATAATTGCCCAGCTGAAATTCTCTTTTACAAAAAAGAGTGACGAGTACAGATTATGAGGTATGAATGTAATTTATTGTACTTTCGTTACTTTAAAAGTTCCCAGTACTCAGGTCCACTGCTAGGGCGGTCTAAAAAAGCCCCAGCCGCGCGGCTGGCATTGCTGACATTGCGTAGATCGGCCCAAAAATAACTTCTCGAATGTGACTGCCTGACTTCTGCTTCACCTTTCTTTCATCTCTTGAGTTTCTCTTTGTTATATATACCATTCATCGCTTAAGCTCCCTACAACACTTTTGACAGTTTCATGGATTCGCCCTTCTGCTCCCGAAACTAAACAAAGACTCCGCGCCAGGCACCATGGCCTCCAACGAATACTATCACACGAACATCCCACAACCCCCCAGCTACGACCAAGCTGTTCCGGGGAAGACAGACCAAACCCCGCACACAGTTCCTGGATTCGGCTACGCGAGCCCAAGTTATAACCGCGACGATCTCTCAGCCCCCTATCACAACCGAGAAAGTCAACAGTCATTTGCATCGGACAACGGACATTACCAGACAGCCGGACGGACAACGGAAGGCGACAATTACGCAGAAAACATTCCTTTGAAGACCAACACCCAGTATGGAAATAATCCAGATTGGATGCGCCAACAGACGCAGTACCCTCCATCACCAGGGGGTATTGAGGATAGCCGACAACGTGACAGCCGGAAGAAGAAGGGATTTTTCAGCAAGAAGATTGCCTGGGTGACATACATCTTGACATTAGCCCAGATCATTGTGTTTATTATCGAACTGGTCAAAAATGGTGAGTTTTGTTCCTTCCTCGGTACTATTCTAACATTTCGGATCAACTAACGAAATCCTTTCCGTTCCAGCCCAGTTGACAGGGTCAGTCATCGAGACGAAACCCACCTTCAATCCGATGATCGGGCCCTCGCCGTACGTCCAAATCTACATGGGAGCACGCTACAATCCGTGCATGAAGAACGTCAAGGGGATCCAGGATGCCAATCATACAATTCCGTGGCTCTGTCCAAATGCCACATCGACGACGGTGACGGGAACGGGGTGTTCACTGTCTGAAGTGTGTGGCTTTAGCGGTGTTCCCAACCCCCGTGTTGGAGGGTCAACGGATGATAAGCCGGCTCCCAACCAGTGGTACAGATTCATCATCCCCATCTTCATGCATGGAGGGTTCATCCACATCGGATTCAACCTGTTGGTTCAGATGACCATGGGCGCGGACATGGAGCGCATGGTTGGCATGTGGCGCTATACCTTGACCTACTTCGCCAGTGGTATCTTCGGTTTCGTTTTGGGTGGAAACTACGCTGCACAGCTTGATCCCAGTGATGGCTGCTCGGGCGCTCTATTTGGTATCCTTGCGCTTTACCTTCTTGACCTACTGTATGAGTGGCCTCAGCGGGAATCTCCGTGGGTTGAGCTTGTCATCATGGTCCTCGGAGTGGGTGTCTCCTTCGTTCTTGGTCTTCTCCCAGGATTGGACAACTTCTCCCACATTGGTGGCTTCATCATGGGTCTTGCCATTGGCATGACTATCATGCGATCGCCTAATGCACTCCGTGAGCGGATCGGTCTGGCACGACAGCCATATGTTGCCATGAGCGGCGGAGCTGGCCAAGCCGGCCCCGAGCAAAAGACCACCTCCTTCATGGATTTCTTCAAAGGAAAGCGGGGCCTCACCTCCAGCCCGACAGAAACCCCCGGTTCTACAAGCGGCCCGCTCAACTTCTTCAAGGGCCGCAAGCCTCTTTGGTGGCTGTGGTGGTTAGTCCGTGCTGGCGCCCTGGTTGCGGTCCTCGTTGGTTTCATTATGTTGATTGTCAATTTCTATAAATACCCCTCCTCGAACTGCTCCTGGTGCTACCGGCTGAGTTGTATGGACGTCAATGGCTGGTGTGACCAAAACAACATGCCAAGTTGATTCAGCTTTTCCTTTTTCCTTTTCGGCGAGCCGACATTCTCGAACAGGTCTGCATTGCACTCCTTTTAAGGCAGAGCTTCGATGGACCTATTAGCATTATGACTGTAAAAGATATATTCACCTTATACCAATATGCATATACAAATTAAAACCTACATATGTATGTAATATCCTATGATCTGGGGGATATCCCATGTTCCTGAAAATTGTTCAACGGAAATAGAATATTGTTGCGACGCTATACTTTGTGTCCCCAGCAATGTACGCGGCTATTGTGGCTGGGACTGTGGCGGAGCGTGTCAAAATTACCGTACATAGTTACTGTACGGTACATCTCACCTGATAGTCCTGGTTCTCATCGAATATTGTAGGTAACCCTCAATCGTTCAGTCCTGGGACTTGTTTTATGATTTCCAATGCTCTGTCTATAATGGGAACGATCCCGTCAAACTCCTTCATGCACAACCTTCTTTCCCCTGTGTCATAATCTCCCAGTCATGGCCACCTTGGCCTCGTCACCCCCGACCTCGCCCTCGTGGCCTAAACGACGCCCTCGAGCCTGGGCCCTCCGCTGCGAACGATACTGCTGCGCAGCGGCAAGCTGCTTTCCACTCGCCTTTGTCTATGGCATCACCACATGGGCCGTATACGTCGCTGTCAGCATCGGCATCAGACCCTCACGGAGTGACTGGATCGGTATGCAGGATATCGCCCGGACTCGAACGGGTCTACGTATCCGGGTGTACTAACATATCGGCAGGTATCCCGAGCTCCATCCTCGCATTTTCCCTCTACGTCATCCTCAACTTCTCATACACCGTCGCCGTTTTCACCGATCCGGGGTCACCACTCTCTACCAGTCGCGGGACCGACCGTCATGAGTATAGCGCGCTCCCTCCCTCCGAGCACCCGGAGTTCACATCATATACCGTCACTTCGACAGGTGAATCACGGTACTGCAAGAAATGCCAGTGTCCGAAGCCGGACCGCGCGCATCACTGCTCGACGTGCAAACGATGCGTCCTCAAGATGGACCACCATTGTCCCTGGCTAGCAACCTGCGTTGGACTGCATAATTACAAGGCATTCCTGCTGTTTTTGATCTACACCTCAATATTCTGTTGGGTTGTTTTCGCTATTGCGGCCGTTTGGGTCTGGACCGAGATCCTGAACGATACCCAGTACATGGATACTATTCTACCGGTCAATGTAGTTCTCCTGGCTATCCTGGGTGGCATCATTGGATTGGTTTTAAGTGGATTCACAGCCTGGCATATCAGTTTGGCCATACGGGGTACTACTACCATTGAATGTTTGGAAAAGACCCGGTATGTGTCGCCTTTGCGCAAAGCACTAGACAGACAGCGGAATGAACAGCCGCCCAACAATAACTATTGGGGCGAGCCGGGCGAGGAAAGCATATCCAATCGACTGCAAGGATATGGTAATCAGATCGTCGATGCCCACGCGAACGCAATCCCGGGAGTCACCCGGGCCGAAGAGGGCATATCTCCTGTGCCGCGCCCATCAGGGCCTCCGGACGGCTCAGGCAACGGTCTCACGCCAGCACAGCGAGCATTAACCCGGTCATACGCCGAAATGGAGCGGCAGCGCGAGCACTCGCGGTACGAGGAGTATCAAAACGACGAAGACAACGAAAAAATGCCTAGCGCGTTTGACCACGGCTGGCGGCGTAACCTGCTCCACCTCTTCGGTCCCCGACCGCTCCTTTGGGCTGTGCCTATTTGCAACACCACCGGCGATGGCTGGCGGTGGGAGCCAAGTGCTAAATTCCTAGAAGCGCGTGAGCGCATGCGACAGCGTCGAGAACAGGAGTCTACCGAGGAGCAGCAATACTACCGCGAGTTGTACCAGCGCAATTTGGACAACAGTAATAGTTGGAGGGAAGGTGCTTCACAGCCGCAACGGGTGCCAAACCGCGGTAGCACACCTGATCGGCCTCCGACCTCTGTATCGATGCAGACTCTTGCACCCCGGTCGCCGCGGCCGAGGCCTGGTGATAGTGATTATGGGGATGATGTGGAAGGGAACGGGTTGTTGGATCCAGGCGCTGGCCGCCAGCAGGCTACACGTAGTGACACTGATGAATGGCGGGCCTGGGACTAAGACGAAGTGATCGTACGTAGCATTTCCATGTAGCATGTTGCAGGCGTTTTATGTGTATCATTGTGAAGCATTTTTGTCATTTATGCGCAGCCTTGGTATCGGTATACCATATCAAGGCTTTTATGACCATTAAGACTTTATCCCTATTGTACACTGTCTACCTTTATGGGATATGTGCTAATCACTACTATTGTACTCTCCTCTGTACATACCGTCACCACTGCCCAATAGCATCATCCCCGCAACCTTGGAAAACCAGACGACTGAGACAACTGTCATCTTCTTCTACCTTATCTCTTCTCCCTCCCAACAGTCCAATTCAACATCCCCAAATTCCAATTCCAATCGCATAAAAAGAGACAAAGAGACAAAGACAAAAATGTCCTCCCCCTCAGCCCGCCGCCTCCTAAAAGAAAGCAGCGACCTCCACAAAAACCCAAGCCCATACTTCACAGCCGCCCCAATAAGCGACACAAACCTCCACGACTGGCACTTCACCCTAGCTGGTCCCCCTTCCCCCTCCCCCTACGCCCAAGGCCTCTACCACGGCCGCATCACCTTCCCAGCCACATACCCACTCCGGCCCCCCTCCTTCCGCTTCCTCACGCCTTCCGGCCGCTTCGAAGTCAACCGCGAAATCTGCCTCAGCATCTCCGGCCACCACGAGGAGACATGGCAGCCGGCTTGGGGAGTGCGCACTGCGCTGCTGGGGATCCGGTCTGAGATCTTCAGTTCGGAGAGTCAGGGTCAGGTTGGTGGGATGGAGGGGAGTGACGAGCTGCGTAGGGAGTATGCGCGACTCTCGCTTGAGTGGTCTTGTCGTGAGTGTGGGGTCGGGAATCTGGAGGCTATGAGGGAGCTGTGGAGGGTTTGTCGGGAGCGTGGGATCGAGGTTGAAGGTGAGGTTGCTGCTGTGGAAGGGGGTGCTGGTGCTGATGCTGATGTCGAGGGCCAGCGGGAGACGGTTGAGGCGGAGGCTGAGGCTGGTGCCCAGGCCTCTAGTGGGAATGCTGTTCCTGTCGGAAATGAGAACGATGCTCGAGAGGATGATGCTTTAGAGAGTACTCCGGCTCTGGATTCTGTTCCGGCTCCTTCTGCGCCTGCACCGGTGCCCGTGCCACAAGCACAAGCACAGGCACCGCTACCTACTATGCAAGCTCCGGCTGCAGCTGTTATGCCTACGCGGACAAGCTCCTCTAATCTGGCTTCGACGGAGTCTCCCTCTGAAGGTATCTGGCTGGACCGGGCTATCATTGGTGTGATCGTTGCTCTTGTGTTGTTGATATTGCGCCGAGTGGCGAACATCGATGATCTGTAAAGGATTTGGATGTTTAGTTGGGCATTTTCTTTCTTTCGGTGGTCATGCGGGCGTTTGGGATTACATTACAGGAGTTGATCCATGATACCTCTAGATAGTTTTCGAAATCAAGCACAAAACGTCATTGAAATGAAGCATCCCCTTGTTCTTTCTTATTTTTCGTGACTTATGACTTATCTTGAGAAGTATGGCTAGCAAGTATGTTCGTACATAATATTACATTCAAATTCAGTCGAGGATGAGCCGTCAAGATAGAATCAGCCACCAAGACTCCTGTAGTCTCCAGCAAGCCATCTCCCCCTCGCCATCTGACTTGACAATGCCAACTTCCTCCAGCCACTGCAGCATCAGCACAGTCTCCCATGCGCCCATGGTGGGCCTGATCATGTTAGAAATGTTACTGGCCTTGATGCCGGGTCGCATCACCAGGCATCCGAGGACAGGGCCAATCACCAGATCCCAGAGACGGTGTACGAACTCTCCATTGATGTCGTACCAAAGAGGGTTCCTAGGCGGCATTTTCGTGTCTGATAATGAAGGCGCTGGTGGGAGGACCGCAGCTGCAGCTTTGCCACGGACGGGGTTACCGTAGCGATATGTTGCGGTGGGAGTAACCTCGATAGGGAAACGGAAGCGTCTCTTGTCCATCTGCCGAGTTTCGTATCCGCCATCGGTGAGACCGAACTTAGCGCGGGGAGCGTCGCGAGGTCTCATTTGAATAGCACCCGAAGCGTAGAGATTGATCAACGCGAGGATATCGCCGTCTTCTGCAGTGTACTCGATGTCGGATGCACCGGTAGTCCGGAATTGAAGATCCAATATGTTTGACTTGAAATGAGAGGCACGACGCAGCTGCGTGCTTTCCACGGCACGTTTGCGGCTCAGTGTCTGCAGGAAATATTCTGAGATATCGTAGTTGCGACCCGGAGTGATGCGGCCACGGGTTGTTGAGCTGATGACGCGTTCGTTGATTAGCGTCTGCGTCGCAGTGGTGATGAGTCGATCGCCAAAGCGCTGCAGGATATCGCTCGACTCATTAGGTCGATAGGTCTCCTCTGCGGTGATGATGTTTGCGCGAACCCATGTCTTTGCAGCCTCAAGTTGTGCCGTATCAACCTTTGATGGAACCGGTTGGGTACGTGTTTCATCATCCAGGGGTACAGCAAATGGATTGCGCGCCATTAAGTTGCGTTTGTGGTTGATAGTGACACCATGCACAGCCTGGTACAGTTCGTCGCCTGCCGTAAGAGCGTCTTCACGTAGTTCGAACACACTGTCGAATTGCTGCCGTGTTGCTGGAAGGTCCGGAGCCCGTTCGGATGGAGAAATATCGAGCCTTGTGCTTGCCCACTCAACCAGGGCAGGCCAGTCATAGCCGTCCAAATCGGAATAGTCAATGCGCGGAACTTCATCCTTTTCATAAGCCTCAAGGAAGCACTCTTGGAAATCTCGATGCATCTTCGTAATCTGCAAGCGATTCTTGCTGAGTATCTGACGCGCTCGCGCTTCGATGAAAGACGAGTCTTGATCTGGGAAAGCTTTCGTCACAAGAGTCCAATCGATCACTCTTGATTCCGCTCCGCCTGCAAGCACACGAACGACGACAAGAGCAACCACCAGTTTTTGTTTGAGATCCTCGGAGATAGGACGCACGAATCGCTGTCGGCGCATGCGTTTGGGGTTCACGGACTGTGCTTCTTTCTCGGCTGTTGTAGTATCATCAAGTTTGGCCAGACGACGGTCCGTAACAGTGGCACGCGGGGCCCGAGGAGCCCGTGTCCTTCTTGGCTTCGGTGTCCGTTTTGGTGTCTCATCTTTCGGAGTAGTTGTTGGAGGAGGCTGAGGTACAGGCTGGGGTAGAGGCTGACGCTGGCGACGGACCTCGCTACGCCGTGCTGGCAGCTCTGGTTCCACTTGAGGCTGTTTTGGAGGGGGCAGGTCAACATCAAAGCGAATATCGTCTGTGATCGGCGCTGGCTTGAAACCATGCTGAACGGTTTGGTTGATAAACTGCTGGCCTGCAAGGTTTGCTTCAAAGAGATTTGGATGATGAAGCTCCCACTTGAGGATCTTTTTGGTCTTCTGAATAAATCTCGAGAGTAAAACTCTGGCTTTCACAGCCATGGGAATTTCCGGCAAGTCTGGTTCGTCGCCAGCCAGGCTAGATAACTCATCGACGGATTTCTCAATGTCCAAAACCGGCTGTTTTGCTGCCATTGGCTTCGCCCTTCTGCGTCTGGCCGAGCACGACCCTGTGGAGAAAGTCCCAGTAGTTGGATCAAATTGTTGCACCGGATTCATCAACATGGCATACGCTCCGATGGCAGAAATTGGTTTCATCACCCGTTTGGGATGTATGATAAACTTTTGGTGCTTGCCAGGACCAACTGTACCTGTCCGAACATATGGACGTATAATCGATGTGTGCGGATGAGAATCAAGGTCCAATGCAGGAGGGCGTGCGAGCGTCATGAGCCGCTGAACTCCAGGCAGATCAGGCAGTTCATCCTCTTCTTCGGCAGCCTTGGCAGCCTTGGCTTGGGCTTCCAGGCGCTTAATGAAATTCGCCTGAGCCTGTCTCCGTCTTCTTTGCTCTAGGTTCACAATGGAAAGAGGCTTTTGTTGTAAGTGAACATGAGTTCCTTCTTCCACCGGGAAGGAAAATCTTTGCGCGCGGGGAGGTGCACCGTGTGGTCGACCACTATTTCTTGTCAAATTTGGATCCAGCTCGACATTGGCCGCAAAGAACGGCCGCGACTCGTGGAAATCAGTAGCCAGAATCTTGCTCTGCATTTCCTTCACCAACGGATCATCTGGTGACATATCAGGCTTCAACAACAGCGTCCTTGTCACCATCACTTTCCTCGTGTCTCGGCCACTGAAAGTCAGCTGCCGAAGCTGGCCGGCATCAATCAATTGCTTGCATGCAGTATTGATAGTTCGCATGTCTGGTTTTTCATTGGGATGAAACTTCATCCATGCAGTGACAAAAGGATACCACATCGCAGTGCCCGCCGGGTATACGCCATCAGCCTTTTCCATGATTTCCATGATGAGCTTTCTCCGAAGGACACTGATGGATCCGCCTCTCCCAATCAAAGGCTTAGGGGATCCCGATCCTTCCTCCTCTGGAATCTGCATGGTTCGGATATTGATCCTCCGGGCTCGTGGTTTTTTTGCAGGCTTGGTGCCGTGAGCGCCAAAATTGAATTTCTGGGGGCCCACTGAGCCAGATCGTGGTGTCGGGATATCAGATGGACGGGGTGTCGGGGATCGTAGAGTTGTGTGGTCGTTACCACTGCGTTCGGAGGATGCTACGCGGCGTCGCTTTGATGGAGTTCCAGTTTGCTCGTCTTCGAGTAGGTGAAGGTTGGCACTCTTGTCACGATGGCGTGGCGTACTCGTTTTGATTGAACCCTCTTGGGGTGCTGGAACTACATTCTCGGGCAATATCCCGTTGGCATCCCTCAAGGGTCCTTCATTGCTTCCCGTTTGGGCCTTGTGAAGACGAGATCGTTTGGGAGGTCTCCCGCTTCTCCGCTCATTGGCCTTGAAACCCGATGGTGGCGTGGGTGAGACGCCTGACTCGTCAGGTAGAGTTCTCTTGGCTCGCCTCGATGTCGCCGGGGTGGGGGTCATGACGGGCCCCTCGGAGTCAATAACTGAAGGTGCAACTTCAGGGGCAAGGCTCTCGGATGCTTGAGTGGTGGTAGCAGCATCCCCTACCTTGTCATCATCACTTGAGTTATCTTTGTCCTTGACGAACCAAGGGATTGATGCTAAGTTTGGCGATTTGAAAATGGCAATTCGGCTCTGTCTCGGGCGACCTCGGGATTTGCCTGCCGGTCTTCTTCGGCCGTGGGGAGTCACATACACACCAGGAGCAGGCTTGTCCATGACAAGAGCGTTGTATTCAGTCCAACTTTCATCCATGCCAAGTGCTTCAAACTTCTCTTGCTTCGATAATCCCCTAAGGCTGTCGTTTTTAATCTTGGCTCTCTTGGCTCGCTGGGATTCATCGACATATTCCCAGCCATAACCTTGGCTTGGCTCCAGTTCGGGTTCAATCAGGGGTTCCGTGGCTTGAGATTCCCTGGGTTCGGTTTCGCCAACTTCGGGTTGCCTAGCTCCAGATTCTGTGGCTATGGGTTCATTCGCCTTAAAGCCTTTGGCTTTTAATTCTCTGGCACGCCTTTCTAGAGTTGCGCGGTTCAATCTGCCTTTTGGTCGTCCCTTGGGCCGAAAACGGGGCTCGTACTGCTGCTTGGAGCCAGGTGGGAGTTTATCAGTACGCGTACGGATCACTGCGGCTTGACGTTAGATTCATCACAATTTCTCTTGTGGAAACCAAGGAGATGAAGGGGCAATCATACCATGTTGACCGTTTGGAAGTTCAACAACAAACGGATCGCTCGAAGAAAGGAGATAGTTGGGCGGATTGACAGCCATGATCCCGTCAAGTAGAGTTGCATTTGGATCCTTCAGCATATTCTTTGGGAATTCCTTTTTGAGGAACCCATACTCATCAAGTTGAGGAAGCACACCAAAAGGTGGTGCCTCAATTTTTAACGATTTGGCTTTCTTGGCTGGGATCTCAACGGCCTCCCATGATGCCTGACCAGCTTCAACGAGCTTTGCGAAGTTGTTCGCCGAATAGTGGACATAATACATGATGGTCTTTTTCATTGCCAAATCTCGAACAATGGCGTAGTGGCGCAGATGAAGTGGCTGGGCCACTTGCCATAGGTCGACCAAGCGATGTACCATACTTTCAGCAGGTCTCCTGTAAAAGGACCCAAAGCAGGTCGAGTTCAGGTTCTTGATTATTATATTAGCTAAGAAAATATCCACATTTGTGAGTGAGGCGCTTACCTGGTTCGTGATGCCTGTTGTGCCCGTTCTTTCAACGATGTCAAAGATTTGGTTGTTGAGGTTACGATCCGGCGTCCAAGATGGTACGATGCGTACAGCATCTCCAACATGCGCTTTGATCTGATCCATGCCACCGTCTCCCGGGCTAGGCGATCTTTTGCTTGGGCCCTCCAGCTCCAGGACTTGGTCTTGGTCTGGGGTAAATTTGGTTCCGCTGGTTCGCACCCCGTGCTTGTTCAAGACATCGAAATTGAATTCATGGAAAAGGGCCAGATCTTGCTCCGTGGGATCTCGTAAAAGCTTCACGCAAGGATGCATTCTTTCGTATTGTGATTCGGCTCTCACACGTTGTACCACACCTATCCGCTCCCACTTGCGGAGGGCACGGGACAAAACCTTCCAACGCCAATGGTCATCGAAGCCCAAGAGTCGCTTCAAATCATTGCGTGCAATCAGTTGGTGCTCTCGGAGAATGGCGAACAAGGTGGTGTTGAAGCTATCAAAATCAATCATGTTCTTCGATTCCGGTTCTTCCTTTGTTTGATCACTGGTGATGTGGCGATAGAATCGCTGTAGCGTACAGAGGCTGGTTCGGGCCGTTTTTGTTTGAACGGGTCGCTTGTCGATGTAGCCCTTTCTTTGCAAAGCATCGGTACGCTTCGGAACAGACCGTTTGTCCTGGCCGCTGAGCTTCACCAGGTCCGGCTGCACAATACCCTTTGACTTACGTGAAGCAATCACCGACAGTAAGACGAATTCAAGAGGTAGTACCTTGGAGTCATCTGGTGGATGGCCAGTGATGGCAAGCCATGCTCTCTCTTCTGAGACAAAGATTCGAAGCGGCGGTAAATCAGGGTTCTGATCTACGGTTTGGTTGGCCTCGGGATCCTCCATTTTGGGTTCATCGCTCTCCATTGTCCGTGAGTCAAGCTCCTCCGCTTCATCCAAGGTGAGATGGTTCCACTCATTGTGTTCACCAATAGACACCTCTGGGTTAGCCGTGAGCCAGGACCAAACTTTGGCTTTGAAACGATGGTCAATGTTTTGGTCTATTGCAGTCACATGATGAGGCTGAGTATGGAAGTCATCAATGGCTTGTAATAGATCCGATAACGATGCGCCTTCATGCCTGTTAGCATTATGTTCCAGGAAGTCTGTATTAAGAACAAAAGCACCCAATCAGGGCTTGAGAAGGAGAGTATAGATCGACATTGGGTCCGCGCCACAAGGACGCAGAGTCAACCCTGTGATGAGAGGGGAAGTATAGTAGGAATTCAACATATTCCTCAGACTAGAGGCTTTTCCCATAGTTTCGGTGACATTTGAATCCACATGCGACATGACATGCGTCTCCGGGGTGAGGAAAAGTGGGTCCCAGTGAAGAGACTATACACACCTTGATTGCCGCAGAGTGCGACTTCGTTCAGCACGAAGTCGATAAGATGTTGTACGCCAGGCATGGCTACATAGCTTTTTTTGAATAGGAAGATGGGTGCAAAAATGGTAAAAGAAAAGTGATGGAGTGTGGGAGAATTAAAGAAGGATAGAAATTTTTTGAAGGGGAGGACTCGAACGCCGAGCTTCCAATTTTTGCAATGAGATTGCCACGTCACATGACCTTATCTTTCTCAATGGCTCTTTATGCCTTGTTTCTGAGGCATCCTTAATGACCTACCTACGTAGGTATTAACCAACAAAAGCTCTATTATAGTTAACAATTCAATTGCCTACGTGTGTTATTGTGAAGAGAAATTTTAATTTTATCCTTTGGCTTCGAACCCTAAGTACATTAGAAGCAGATATCCATAATGCAATTTGTTCTCGCCACCACTGCTAACCGAAGCCAAATTTTCATATCCATGCGCTGATTCTCATTTTGAAAGAATGGTGAAAGCAAAGTGTATTTGAATGTTCGATTAATGTTGTATACTACGATGCACCGCACCTACTTTGTACATCTTTGTACTATATATAGAGGGGTACTTATGAACAAGCTAAACTCCCGAGGTGATCGGCATCCGAGTGGACCGGTATACTCGGCTTCCGGTCTCGATTCCTTGTTTTTCTGCATTATTGTGCATATTTACCCAATGTACTATTCAGTAACTTATACACCGTATGAACGTCGACATCAAGGATGTCTGCGGAGTACGGCATACTGACATCGATCCCAGAATCTTATGTGAGATGCCATATATTCCACATGTAGTGGACTATTAAACAAATAACCCATCTATTGTACAAATATCAAAAGCTCAGGGGCAAATAAGAGACAAGAAAGAGGCAAAAGTCAATCCAACAGGGAAGTATAAGACAAAAATATCAAATTCGCCCGCTTGGAAGTGGTTTGGTTGAAGGCTTGTGGGTGTATACATGCTTTGAATGACATCATATGGCGTTATGTCAGGTACCTCTCATTCCAGCCAATTTAGTACGGCCACGGAAGTACCCGTCTCCGTTGTTTCCGGCCAAAATTTCCTGCCTGCCGATTTACATATTCGCCTCTTCTTCACTCCATTTTCTTGGATTCTTTCTCTGTGGAAATCCATTCGGATTCATCCTTATATTCGCACCATGTCCTAATAACCCCTTATTCCTTTATTCCTTCATCAGACCCTTACCGCGTGTCCCTCCGAACCTATCAACACCGTCCGCCACTTATCGCCACACCGATGGAAGAAGGAACCGTCCCAACACCATCCGAGCCTCCTCCGCTCCCATACTCGTTGCATACAAGGAAGAAGTCGATCGCGTTCTTCTGGACTATCTTTGTGATTGATACCTTGGCTCAGCCATTGATTCTGTATTGGTGTCTTTGGTATCTCACCGATCTATCACACAACTTGGGTATGTCTTGCGTGGTGGAACAGATACACCCGTTCAGGTTGCTAATGTCGATGTGCAGTCTTCTCGATCGTCACCGCATCACTTGGAGGAGTCTCGGTCTTTGAATACTTTTACCGCCTTCATCATTTATTCCGCAAAAACTCGCGCGCCCGACCATTGAACTCCCGCGTATCATGGGTATGTTTCGATCTAGGATTGATCATGAACCATTAACTGATACCTCTCGGTAGCTGGATTTCTTCCAAATCAACTTCACCATCCTTTGGTTGATTCTCGCCGTCGAATTGGTCGTGTAGGTCTAGCATCTACCATGCAAACAGGATGGACAATGAGCTAACAAGTCCGCAGTGGATCGGTACCTGAAGAACCATATGGTTAGACCAACCCATTATAATATCTTGCGCAATTGCCTCGTACTGACCGCTTAACAGTGCGCCTCATCGCGATGGTCCTACCCACCGTCATGTTCTACTTCGGCATCGTCTACCTTTCCCTCGACATTTTCCGTATGATGGGCTTCAAGGCTCCGTTCCGAATTTCTTCCACGCCCAAAGGCTCCGTTATGCCGACTGCATTGTACGCGCTTATTGAGGACGTGGTAGCAGTCGACGGTGGTGGTGGACAGATATATCGATATGCTCTCCGGACTCGATACCTATCGAGTCCTTATTTCCGCCGTATGCTCTTCGAAATGAACTGTTTCTGGAGTGGAGGATCTATCATTTTCGCCGCCGCCATTACTGCAGTGATTTTCACCGTTCAGGAAAATGTTGCATTCACGGTAAGCCGGAATCAATTCAATCTCAATTTGTAATCAGACTAACTTGACATACAGCTGGGCTGGACCCTTCCGTTTGCCTGGGCTATTGTTTGGACCTTGATCACAATCCCCTGGGTTCAGAGTGACCTGCGTCGTGAAAAGAAGGCATGGGCAGAAAATCGTGGACAAGGCGGCATCCCTTGGGTTGATGATATCAGCGCGCCCACTGCACGTACCCGTTTTGCGTCCGTTCAGGCTAATGTCTGGCCCTGGACTCGTGATAAGCAGAGCCAACCTTCAACGCCATCCGACCCCGCTGAGAAAATATCCGATGATGTCCCTGAAGCCTCCGATGGACCTCATGAGGTCTCTAACGATGCCTCCAGCAGTGCTCCTCATGGGGCTTCTCACGTTACCGATGGGACTTATGATGGAGCCACTCTTGGCACTTCCAAGGCCGAACCGACGGAAAAATTATCCGTGTAATATGTGTATGACTATGACTGATGAATTTGCCCAGGTGTTCCGATCCGATGAAGTTTTCTCTTTTTGGTCTTTTATTGCACATGAAAATGCATATTGAGAGGGGGCTTTTTTATATTTTGACGTCCGATTTTAATTCTGCCATGCAGGCTAGTGTGTATAGATACCCTTGTTTATTGTCTGGGGAGTGAGAATTTATTTCATCTACAACCTGAGTCCTATTACTACCTTACGTTCCGTTTCTCCTGCCCTGAACTTCTGGTACAACAGCATGTGGTGAAATGCGGCTCTCAATCTCAAGTCTCAAGCTGAAGACCCGATGCCTCCAAGTTTAGACAGGACATTTTTGTCTTGGATCGTGCATAAACAGTATCTTCATGTTGACTTCATAGGTATTATCTATACTTCTTTTGAAACATCTTTCTGCACCTTCTCTCTGCATAAATAAAGACCCGATCCTATTATTCCAAGGTTCCAAGGTTAACTTCACGTCTGACGTAGTTTGTCATATACCACGAAATTTCCATTCCTTTTCTGTTTTCTGACTTCGCTCTTCACTCATTCTTTGATTATGTCCAAATGCAACATCGGCCTGTTTTCCTTCCTCTAGAGAAAGAGCATACCCTATGAAAAGTCCCCGAAAAGCCGCTAAAGGCCCGTTCCTAGTCAATCCCAGCGACAGCCTTGCTACGCTCACAACCTACACCTCCGTGACCTACGGGTGTGACGAGAATGGAGGATGACAAAAATTCCTCAGTCAAGAAACTGGGTTGACAGCGTCCGATAAAGATCCAGTCAAGTCACTCAAAATCCTCAAAACGTGAAACAGCAAGCTTAGAGCCAATACCCACACGAAATATCAAGAGATTTAGAGACACTCCCAATACATCGACCATGTCGACCAATCCTGCTCCGACTAGTATTTCATATAATTTAGTCTCAATCTCACCCAGAGTCTGTCTTGATCCCATGGGAAGAAAAGACCCCACAAGGTATTAAAGAAGCCCTCGACTCTTCTGCAACCCCCTTGGTTCAGTTTATTCCAGGCAATGAGGACCCAGAGTTGATTCCAGCAACCGAACTGCTGGATCGCTTGCGTGTAGACCTTTCTGTTCCTCTTAGTCCGTCCGATATGGAGCAGATTGCTCGAATCAGTGAAGTTTCCTTCAATGGAAAGACGAGGGTTACAGCCCTGCCGGGAGGGTCGATCAGGTCGCTTTGCCCTTATTGAGAGTGGCTATCGGTGACCATTAGAGGCCTTGTCGTGGTATGTTTAATGGCCTACAATTACTTCAGTTTTCTACTAATGGTTCTCTAGTCGTGGAGAGCTGATCAGCCCATTTACCTACCTCACAATGTACCGTAAGTTCTAGACTACAGTATTGATATTGTTTTGGGTTTCCACAAAGCACTATGGAAATCCCAATACAAAGCATCAGGTATAAGGGGAAATGAGCCATATTAGCGACACACGTACCGGTGGCAAACTTCTAGGCCCAGGCTTTGTGGTGAAGAGCGATGCCGATATTCTTCAATCCAAGATAGAGCTTGGAGTCTTGATGACTGGTTATTTGACATGGCTACAAGCCATCACAACAGAAAGATTGATGTTACGCCCCTTATAGGTTGTACGGTGCGTGGCGAGATATGGGAATTTTATATTATCTCTGGGGAATATGTAAAGGACGACAAAAAACAAGTCTAAACCCTTGTGCGCGTGGTAGGTAGCCCAAATCCGCTATTCAGCCTGTTCAGAATCCCTCTACAGAATGTTTGGGGTCCCCTATCTGGCCTTTCCGGTTTCACTGGGAATATTTCATCGGCGATGAACCTTGTCTGCATACTCCGGAGGATCATTGATTTCACAACGGGTGATTTCATCGACGAGCTGGTAAACGCGGTTGCGGTAGTATAGGTCGATTAGGCCCTACGACGTCAGCCTTGGTATTCATGAATGAAGTGCTTAGTTGAATACGTAACAATAGTTTAGACTACCTACGTAGGAAACACTTGGGTATCTTGGTCTATCGTGGGCAAGGGAACGCTATGGGGGTCCCAACATCCGGTGTGTACATGTATCAATAAGCGCTATCAATAGCCACCTGTCCCAGCAGGAAACAAGTGTCAGGGTCAAAATGATAATACGAAAGATGGTTGTAAGAAAAACGAAATGTCCCCTTCGCCTCTATGCCAGTGTCCTCAGACAGCCCGGGTAATAAAAACACGATTTCTCCCCGCCATAGAGACACCGGAAAAAAGGAAAAACACAAAATAACGCCTATGTACGGCCCGATGCATGTAGAGGGTATCTAGGAAACACGAGGGGCCTGGTGAGAACAGGGACGTGGTGGTGGTGTACAAAGAATCACAGGAATTTTAAAAGGGTGTAGAGGTATTAGGCAAAATAGGAACGGAGGGAAGAAGAAAGGATATAATGCAGGGAAGATGAAGCAAAGCGATCATTTCCGGAATGTCAGCTTCCGGCCGATGCTGCGAATTGTTTTGATGTGGCTATACGACTCAGTCAACTTCTTTGCTTTGGCGACTCGGAGCGGGATACATACCTGTCATCCTGATCGTTCTTGTCGGCTCGGTTCGCAGTCCCGGTTTGACCAGAGGTCATCGGCCTTTCGGGTGGAGGGGCATTGACAAATCGACGCGATGCCTAACCATTTTGTGTTAGCATTCAGGGATATTCACGTTGACATGATGAGACGAAAGGACACGAACCTCCCAGCGAGAATCCACGTCCACCTCACTGGCGGACCGTGCGTCATGGAGCGTGGGATCTGAATAATTTGTGCCGTGGATCTCTGAACTCAACGAGGTGGTCCTAGCCAATGGCGAGGCATTCGACTGCATAGATTTGCGTGAGCGTGACTCCGAGTAATCGCTATTCGAGTCATAGCTTGCCAGACTCTGGGCTTGGCTAGTGCTCGGGTTGATCAAGTTGGATGTATTTGACAGGAGTTGAGACGATGATGCAAGCTCACGGAAACGCTTCTGTTGCTGCTTCGAGGGTCGGTGGTGGGAGAACTTGTTACCAAGGATGGCGGGGGCGTGCGAGATAAGGGCTTTGATCACGTCTTTCTTGAGGCGCAGGGCAAGATCCAGGTTCGACCATGTCTTGTTGCTGTACTCGAGAACTGGAAGGCGGAAGACGAAATCATGGAGATCCTCTAAGTTGTGCTCTCCTTTGCCCTTGTAGCTCATGCAGAGAACCACATCATTCACCTTCACACGTGCGAGGGTCATGAAGTTGGAGGCGCGGGAGATCATTTGGGACAGGTCGTCGATTGGCTCTTTGGATTTGCCGCCCTTGTTGGTTCCTTTACCCATTCCGAACTTCTTGCGACTGTCTTCGCTAGCACTGTGGCTAGACAGGGATCTTTCAGTGGGCTGTTTAGTTAACATGCGCAGACTATCAGCAGACTTCTTTTTGCTGAGACCACCAGTCGTAGCGGGACGGCCCGTTTTGCGCGCGGTCTCTGATACGCCCAGTCGGTTACTATCCTGGTGGATAGGTGTCATCACAAGTCCCCTTAGATGGCCCGAGCGATTACGCGACTTGGTCTCATCTGAAAGCGACAGTGTAGGCTGGAGTCGCAGTTCAATGGAGCCCGGTCCTTTAGAGATGGCGAGACTGTCCATGGACGAGCTGTCAGCGTCGGTACTCGTTGAGCGTGTCAGTGGCGCGCCGTTTGAGCCTTCGTCATCGTCTTCCTCGTCCGAGGCCTCGAGCGGCTTCATGTTCTTGATCATGAAAGGCGAGAAGCCACCAGCCTCAAAGGCGCTAGAGCCCACGTTGGGGAAGATATATTCAAAGACTTTCTGACCTAACTCGCGTTCGAGCTGGATCTTGAGCGGGAACAATGAAACTTCGAAGTTGTCAAGCACGGGGATACCGGCAACGGCCTCCAGCATGTGCCATTTGACGCGCAACATGAAGTCATCCAGGGTGCGTGCGCCGTCGAGGTAAGGTGCGATAATTTGAGGGTAGATAGCGTCCGGAAGTAAGTTCAACCCGAATAGTCGCTCGATGGATACCAGGTTATGGTTTGAGCCATCAGCATTGTCAGTTCGTTCGTACGAAGCATTGCGCAGCTGGAACTCAATCAAGGGCTCGGAAGGCTCCTTCATCAGGTGCCACACGACCTCACTCGCCGATATGCTCCAACGTAGTAAGCCATGGACGCCGGCTGCCCTAGACGAACTTGGTTCCATTCGCCGTTGGGAAGTTGTGATTGCCTTCATCATGAAGAAAAGTTCATCCTCGCATAGAGACAAGTCGCGTTCGAGAGCCAGCCGATCCTCCCAGCCCTGTTTGTCCAGGAACTTAGCGTTGATCTGGAAGTACTCTTTGATTTCCTCCAATTGGCGAATCCGTGCTTGAAGCTTGAACACCATTTCAGGGGCGCCACGAAGATCACTGAAGTCGGAAGTGAGCATGATCCTCTCCAAGCGCTCATTTCGGACCTTTTCGAGTGGTTCGCTGTAGAGCATGAGATCCAGGACAATGATATACATGGAATAGTACTCTGCAGAATCGCAAATCGCGCGGAAATGAGGGAAGTCCACACTGATCGAGTCTATGCGGTCTTCTTGGTCGTCGGGATCAGGCTCTTGCTGACCCTTTACCACCTCTTCGTTATACTTGAGGCGGAGGTTGTTGAACTTGTCGTAATGCAGGGTGGCAGAAGTCTTTTGCACAATACGAGAGAATCCAAATGGATTCAACTCGAAATCGAACATGGCTTCCAAAGTCAACCACGGCGGCCACGCTGATCCAGGCGCGTTTCCGTACTTATTGCCAGCATAGAATTGCAAGTTCGCCATCAATTTCTTCTGTGTTGCAACAAAGAACTGGGCACCGTCCATTTCGAGGGAGAAACGGCGCCGTATCAAGCCGCTCACATCGTCCGAGGCGCGCGCTTTGTCCATGATTGACACGACCTTGAGTTCCATGCCTTTAGCGGCAACGAGCAAGACCGACTTCTGGTTCT